ACACGCAGGCCGTATTTTACAATCCCAAAACAAAATAAAGGAAAAAAAACTAAGGCCATAACTGATCATCACAAGACAATAATAATAAACACACTTTTATTATTAGTTTAAATTTTGTTAATTAAAAAAAAGGCAAATTATATTTCGACGATTGATCACACTACGCTGAGTTAGCCGGGGGTTCCGCTGCCCGGTCAGCGGACGGGGGTCAAGGGGGAAGCGCCCCTTTGCAGGGTTGTCAGGGGCAGCGCCCCGGCGCAAAATTTTAATGAACAATTCATTTGAAATCGGTGTCATTTTCGCACAACTCTTGTGCATTCACAACCCTAATCGCATAACTCTGCAACAACACAACCCTTGTGCCGTCATGAACCCTAATGCAACAGTTTCATGCTGTCAAACACATTTCGATTGATAATTCAGTATGTTTAATCACATGCCATTGCTTCACCATACTAATGTCGGATTCTGAAGCATATGAACAGTGATCAGTCAAAGGAATAACAATCATCAAGTGTTTGAATGAATGAAACAGAAACAGTATATCCCATATACCATCGTTGCATCATATTTACTTATATCATATATAAAAGTGATCGATCTTATTTGTGTAACCTATGGACGATCGATGTATCGCTGCTTCACCATACTAATGTCGGATTCCGAAGCATAGTTAACATCAATCATCCAAATCGTACACAACAGATGCCAAATTTAATTACTCGTTTATTATTCAATTCATTCTGGTTTTAATCGAATCAAAACAGAACATATAAAACATAAACAACTATCAGATCCATGGTTTTGTAAGTGGCTCTAATACCACTGAAGGAAAATTGTGATCAAAAGCGCAGCGGAATTTAAAATGTTCCTTTAGCGATCCTTACGAATGAGCATGGTCAGTGATAGAAATATTTACCTCTTGTGGCGATTCAGACCTTTGATGTTATGATCACGAGCTTTGATGAAGAACAACGCCTCTACTCAGTCCACACGAATAGATCGCTTCCGGTCACAGTGCTAGCTGATCACGAACGGAAACCTTGAGTGAGAGAGAGAATCAAAAACGAAATTGCATCAAGTGAAATTGCTTTATCACAAGGGATCTATTTATAGAATCACTCGTGCGGGCTACAAGCTAAAAACCCAATTAAGGCTATAAGCTAAAAGCCCAATTAAGCTTATGGACATCATACCTTATGATGTACCATATATCACTTATCCACGTGGTACCTTACCACTTTCCGTATTACACTTAAGTGCACCGTACCTTACGGTGTTCCTTATTTATTCTATCTCTCATCAACCTTTCCTTATGTGTGTGACCCTGTAGGTTTTCGCGACGTTGGCAATTATATTAAATCACACATTTAATATAATAAATAGTGAGCGGTATCTAGCAACACATCACTGTTACCCAAGTCACGAAAATGTCATGTGATCTGACCAAACCTTTTCCGTGATGATATTTGTGTTGTACAATTACCCTTTTGCCCTCATGTCTATATTGAACACAAGGCATACACTGTGTCACCCTTGTCCAGTTCAATATTGGGCCCTTATACATTTATCCTGTTATGCAGGATGAGCAAATTCCATCTAGGTCACTCATGTCCCTTAGCATGCTTTGTGAAGTACCCATCAACCGTCTTTATAGTCATCCAGTTACGGATGACGTTTGATCAGCAATAAAGTACTTGACTCTACATCTAGGGTCCATAGTGGTTTCAGGTCGAAGGGTGGTATACACCATTATCATCATGAGAATAACTTATGACACTTTGCATAACATTCTATGTAGTATTCTCATAGCGGGTCAATCCAGTATAAATATTACTCCTAATATTCATACCTATGTCAAGACTTGATAACTCCTTATCTATGATCCATGAGATGTGATCATCAATCTATCTTCATAATAATCTTAATGCTTTAATGTTATCCCACTTCACATTAAAGCTTGACTACGGATACTTTAAGAATAGTGTCTTATGTTTAATGGGATCTCATGATTAAGTCACACTTAACATTTCATTAAACCAATAAACCATTTTAGGGACTTTATTATTTTGGAAAGCAAACATAATAAAGAAATGCCTTTTATTATTAATAAATAATTCGATACAAGTACCAAAAGTATTGGCCTCTAGGACTTACACCAACAGTTACAAACTATGTAACTCTCCTTGTATTTATAAGTCCTTCTTCTTCACTGTTCTCATAAGTTATATTTCAACTTGAGAAAATCTTCCGAAGTGGATATTACAAAGGAGGTTCTTCTGTTGGAAACCAAAAGGGAAATGTGTCCTGCTTCATAGAAGGTAGTGTTCAACGCAATAAAAAATGTTGGAATATCTACTGCAATATCCATGGAAGGGAAAACATCCATTACAAAGATGAAGTCTCTCAAGAAAATACATAATTAATTTTTTATTCAAACTCAAGTACTGATAAAGGTTGGGTCAATTACATTGGCTCAGAAGGTATACTCTTAGCTTGTATCTCTTTAGGTAAATCTATTTGTTTTATTTTTAGTCAGTCTTGTTTTTATTTAACCCTTAGCTTGTCTATTTTTGGGTGAGTTCATTTTTATTTCTTTCTTTTGGGTCAGTTTGGTGCAATTGGCCTTGTATCAAGCATAGAGTTTGTTTGTTTTATGTCCTTGTTCTGTTTGTTTTAAGTCAACTTTTGAGTCTTTCCTTGTTTGTCTTGAATCAATTCTTGCTTTTATTGATTATTCTTGTGTCAGTTTATTTTCACTATATTTTTGTTAATTTTTGGCTAAAAATGGGAGAAAAGGTGTCATTGAGTCTAGTCAAGTGTTGTTTGATTTATGCAACATTTAGGGTTGTTTGTGTCATGTTTCTACTGCTGCTGCTTTTGTTGTAGATGTTTGCTGGATGTCATATAGGATGTTACAACGTCCTGTTTGGTCTACTTTTGGTTGTCTCTTGTGTTCTGAGTTATGAGCATTATTGTGTCTTGTGCTCTGAGTTATGTATGCTTGTTCTATTGCATGTTCTAATATGTTGTGCTCTTAAGAGGGAGATTTTTCTCTTTGTGACAAGAACTAGTTATGTGTTTGAGGGGGAGTAATATTCATCTTCTTCCTCATGTATAAAGTTTACATATTTAGCATGTAGCTTGTGTTTATGTAACTGATGTATCTTTGATGCATGGTATGTGTAGTTTGATTTGTGGTTTTATTTCTCTATGGTTCTATTCCTTTGTGGTGTTATTCCTCTCTCTGTGTTAATTGTATTTTTGGTTGTTTTAGCCAAAATTTTCCAAAGGGGGAGATTATTAGTTCCATAGTTTTAGGATTGGTATAATTTTGCTAAAACATGGTTCTATACTAATGTTGATCAAGATGGTACAATATTTGCATCAACTGTCATAATAATTTTGCTGTTGTGTATTTTTCAGCTAGATGTATAAGCATATGTCATGACATCTCGGTCTGGTACAGCAGGTGTTGCTGCTTTAAATCGTGACATATTTGATTTGATTCTATAATATTTCTTTTGGATATATATCAGTAAATTTTGTAGGTCAAGAAGATTTAATTTGGAACATGTTTTATATCTTCAGTTGTACATTAGTTACTAAATTGGGCAATGAGACAATTTAGGAAACTTTGTATTGTTTGTTCTAAGATTTAAGGAGATTTGGCTGCACAATTGGTGTATCAGTCAACTTGTGGATCAAAAATATTTGGGTGCAGTATTCGAAGCACATGGACTGCAGAGGTGTATTTAAAGAGAAAGTCTGACCTAATGTAATTAGAACTTTCAGCAATTGTAAAATTAGGGGAAGGAAAAAGAGTCTTAGGTTTTGAGAGTCTCTTGTATATTGTATGGTGTAAGTCACCCTTGTATCTCTTGATACTTGTGGTCAATATTATGTTCTCACTCAAAAGTCTTTAGGAAATGAGTTGAGTATTGTTCTTGGATAAAGCTTTTAAGCAGATTCAAGTATTGCTCTTAGTCAAGAGTCTTGACTAAGTATTGTAATGGAAGTATGATCTTCTAGTTGAGTTATTCTTTATACAATAACTGGGATTGGGACTGTTAGATATTACTGAGGTGATTTAGGAAGTGAGATGGTGATTTCTCATATTTAGGAGGTTCCTATGTATTGGATAGGGATTATAAACTGAGATTGTTTAGCTTTGAACTAAACTGCATTGTAAACTGGGATTGTTTAGCTTTGAATTAATACTGCTAATAGTTGAATTTTTGTCTAGCTTGGTAGAACTCAGATGTAGGTGATGTTGCACAGAACTGGGTTAACAACTCTATGTGTTATCATTATGTAGTTTAAATTTTAGTATTTGTTATTACTTAATAAATTTGTTAGTCTGTCAATAAATGTTGTAACATCAGTTGTGTCATTGTTCTGATATTGTAAAGTTAGTATTAATATGTGTTATTTGTACCGGATAAACTTTAACACCCACACCCTATCACCAATCATAACAACTTGCACCGTATAAGAGGAAAAAACCAATCATTCACCCAACAACAAACTCAAAATTATCCAAATCATTTTTAAGAGATTTTCCAAATGTTGTATCTAGCATAAGCAAAATATAAGAACTAAAAGAGAGTTGTTGATGAGAAATATCAAGCCTATATTATTTATTTCAAGCAAAGATCTCAAGAAATTTATGATGCACAAACAAATTCGTAGATAAAAATATTTTAAAAAAAAAGTGTTGAGAAAACAGAACCAGGCAACTCTTCGAAAAAAAGAGGAAGAAAGTGAGAGTGAAGCGCTCACTTCTCAAAAAATATAATTTAACTTGAGGAAAAAATTGAAAATCAACTATCATGCCAAGAGAAAATTTGCAGAGTCGCAAGAAGAAACAAAAGTGCAAAATAGACCGAAACAAGAGATTATTTTCAAGTCGCCATTATCGCCAAGACTCTCATATGCGAATCTGCGGATGATGACTAATGAGATTTAAATATTCCAGGTTATGGTGGTTGATCACCAAACTAGACAGTCTGACATGAAAACATGTCATTGTTTGAATCTACAACCTCCTTTGAAATTGCTTGTCGTTGGTTGACTGGCGACAATACTACCAAGACGACTTTCATCGCTGAAACCACCAGATACATCATGGAAACAACTGTTACAACCACCATCTCTAATTTATGTTTTTCCTTCGCTTCCACCTCCACCAGATACACCACATTTGCCACATAACAAAGTTTCAGTTTCATTTTCACCAACACCGTCGTCGCCGCCTTCGGAACCACCTGATTCAAAGACATCAATGGAGTATTAATTTAATGTGAGAAAGTTTCCACTACACAGCCTCTTCCGTTCCCAAAAGTTATGTTAATAGATAGTGGACCATGTTTTGAATCTTTTTGTTTCATCAACACCTTTTTTAGGGAGAATCGTGTCCAACAAATCCATATAATTACAATTAAATCTACGCCGTTGGATCAGCATGTTAGAAGCATAATCTGTGTGCTTTTAATAACCTAATTACACTTCGATACATGCCTCCATTTATTTCAAAAATTACTCACACACGTTTCTTATTATCATCAAGTGAGTAACTTTTTTTCCAAAACCACCTTCGAGAACATTGTTTTGTGATACTACCATCAGAGTAATACTTAGTTGAACACAACCCCAAAAAAAAATTCTTTTAGGCATACTCACGTAAAATTATATATCATTTAAATATTTAAAAATATATATTATTTAATTATTTTCACTTTCTATCTTTTTTATTGGGTGTGTGCCTAAGTTTTGTGTCCAAATATTTGTGTCTATGCAAGACTTACATGGTTGTAAAGTTGACAAAGATTTACATCTACATGGTTGTAAAGTTTCACGGTGTTTCGTCGAATATTATTTCTTATAGAGATTCGAAGTTTACTTTTGGATTTTGGAAGAGTGTACAGGATGCGTTGGGCTCTAAGCTGAGGTTGAGTTATGTGTATCACCCGCAGACGGATGACCAGACAGAGACGACTATTCATTCATTGGAGGATTTGCTGAGAGCTTGTGTTCTTGAACAAGGAGGTACCTAGGATAATTATCTTCCACTTATAGAGTTCACTTATAACAATAGTTTTCACTCTAGTATCGGTATGACACCTTTTGAGGCATTGTATGTTCGAAGGTGTAGAACACTTTGTATTGGTATGAATCTGGTGAGAGCGTAGTGTTTGAACCTGAGTTTGTTCAGCAGACTATAGAGAAAGTGAAGTTAATTCGGGATAAGATGAATACTTTGAAAAGTAGACAAAGGAGCTACCATGATAAGAGGAGGAAGGATCTTGAGTTTGAAGAAGGAGACCATGTATTCTTGAGAGTCACTCTGATGACCGGCGTTGGACGCGCTTTAAAATCGAGAAAGCTCACTCCTCAGTTTACCGGTCCATATTATATTTTATAGGAAGTGGAAATTTTGCGTATAGGGTGGCCTTGCTACCTAAACTGTCGAATTCTCATGATGTATTCCATGTGTCATAACTCTGAAAGTATATTTTAGACTCATCTCATGTGATCCCATGGATGATGTGCGAGTGCGAGATAATCTTACTGTTGAGACCGTACATGTGAGGATCGAGGATCAGGAAATGAAAAAGTTAAGGGGCAAGGAAACTACTCTAGTGAAAGTAGTTTGGGGAAGAGCTGTCGGAGAAAACGCGACATGGGAATTAGATGGTAATATGCGAGAGCCTTACCCGGAGTTGTTTGCATCGGGTAATTTTCGAGGACGAAAATATTTTAAGTGTGGGAGAGTTGTAACACCCTGATTATTTATTGAATTATTTTAATAACTTAATTATTTAATTTTGTGTATTTATATGCGTTGATGAATATTTTGTTATGATGTGATGCCTTGTTGTGGGGTAGTTATCTTAGAAGTTATCGATGTTAAGGTATTTGGGTTGTATGACTAATAGTGTAGACACTTAGGATTGGAAGGGGACTATTACTACTATTATTATTTGAATTAAAATATTAGAATAATATGGTGATAATAATAATTAAATAATTATTTTTAGTTATTATTAAGTAGAAGGGCATAAGTGGAATAAGATATTAAGGGTCCAAGGGTTAAAGTAGTAAAACAAGGAAAAGGAAAGAGTTTTTTTTAAAAGGCAGATCATAGAACGAGAAAGAGGAAAAAGAGGAGAATAGTGCACTAAGAGGCTAAGGCAAGAAAATCCATTATTTAGGCTTAGGAACCGTCAATCCAAGGTAAAGGAGGGGTTCCAACTCTTTAAGGGTATTGTATAATATGGGTATGTAGGGGTTTAATTTGTTTATCACCATTGGTAAAGGTTTAGATGTATATAGGTTTGTTTGAGTTTTTATGATGAATTGATAATATGGTGATTTGTGATGAAAATTGATGAAATGTGTGATGTTGTTTTGCTATAATGTGATGTGTATAATGCTTTTCATGATGTGTTGTTGTTGTATTGTGAAAACATGTGGAAATTGGGGAGTTTTGGGACTAGATTGTGTGGAAATCGTATGAGAATTGGGACTAGTCTGGTGCAGAAATCACAATAGGAAGTTATTGTTTTGCACGCATCGGCGGGTGAGACAAGCGTCACTGGGAAAAGTGGTTCCGCCCAAACATCATCGAGTGAGACTCTAGGAGAGAGGACTTTGGAAAATGTATGTTCCTGGAAAATAAGTGAAGCTTCTCTGCTTCGTTGGGCAAGCGAGGAGCAAGGATGGTTGCTCTTGCTTCATAAGGCAAGCCTCAGGCGAAGGCCCTGCTTATTTGCGCGAGATTTAGGCGACATAACTATTTCAAAAACTTTTAAGGGTCATAAATTGAGTTTCCCGACTCTGTTTGACGCATCATTCAAAGCATTAGGAAGCTAACGCGGTGAACTTTGTTGGAATCAAATGAGTAAAATGGTGTTTGTTTCAGTCGTATAGCATGATAAGTTGGATGTTGTGTGATGAATTTATTAGGAAATATGCATTATGATAACTTGGTGTTGTTATAATGATGATATATGATATTATTGAGTTGTATGAATTGTATGTTGCATGTATGAACAACTGGTGGCTGTAAGGGTGTGTCGCATTGATGGATTTAGATATCAATATGAGTTACTTTGTTGCATGGTTGTGTCGCATGTATTACATGTTATGGATTTTAGTTCTGTTTGTTGGCTCTGATCCTAGATGGAGTGGATAGGGAGCGATATGAACCTTATTATTCATGATGTTGGTTGGCTTTGATCCTAGATGGCATGGATCAGGAGCGAGGTAAACCTAATTGTTCACGATATTGGTGGCTCTGGTCCTAGATGGTGTAGATTCAGGAGTGATATTGGTACCACATGCATTGAGTCTGTGAGTCGGTCTCATTTTATTGCATTTTCATTAACCTGATGTTTGAAATGTATGATTGGTGTATGTAATACATGATAACATAATGCTATATGCAGATGATTATGCATGATGGTGTAATTAATATGTAATAAGACTGTTGTTGTTCTATGAAGATGTGAGATGTTGAATGTGTGGCTATGTGTGATTTAATTGTTGTATACTTATTATTATACATTATCTTATATTATTGTGATATCTCACCCTTCTGTTGGAATGATGCTTTATACGACATCGTGTAGATAATCAGGAGTAGTTTGAAGTTGCAAGGATTGGAAGAGGTTGCTCTGATGCGTAACACCGGGGGAATGAATGCTTATTTGTTTTATTGATTTTAGATGATTTGTTTGGAGTCCTATTAACTCCTTAATTTTTGAATAAATGTTAGTTTATACTAGATGATAACTGTGATCGGTGGGAATGAGAACTGTCTGTTTTGGAATGCTGGTTCGCGTTTGTGTTTGTTTTTGCAAAATGTTGCGGCAAGCAAGAGTCGCCACCGTCTTTTATTTTATCCAACAAGGAAAGGACAAAAGCACAGAAAAATTCCTTTTTGAGGTATTTCTCGGGTTCGGGAGGTAGATTATAGAAAGGGAAGGTGTTGTTACCCTTTCTATCCGTGGTTATCCACGGGCTCTTAGGTACTTGCTCATTGTGTTTTCAAAAGTTTGCTTTTCTTTGTGTTTGTGGGTTTGAAAAGAGTTTTTGTTTTGAAGAGAGTGTGAGTGTGAAAAGCTTTATTTTGTTTTAAAAGGAGCAAGTACTTAAGAACCATCTACCTACTCGAAAAAGGAATTAAATTGTGCTAATGTCCTTTAGACAATGCTATCCCACTATTGAGGAGTAGGTAGCATCGTCGTTGGAGTTTTCGGGTCAATTCGATTAAGGGACGTGTGGTCACTAAAGCAATGTTAGGACGCCTTAGTGGTAACCCTAATGTCTTAGATCATTTTTACCGAGGCAACCGTTTTGAGGCAACTTATGATCTTTGGACAAGAGGGTGACCTCTAAAACTTCCTATACTCAATGACCACGTTCGAAGGAAACCAAGTGAGGTGTACCCTAAGAGTGGCATGTGCAAGTGTGTTACTTCGGTTAATTTTATCTGTACGTGTCATGGGTGAGCTATATTGATTTTAGGTTAAAGATTGATCTTGTCATGCATTGCCTATTTATCAAACATCTAACAGTTAATATTGTGTGGAAATTAAATTGCGGGAAATTAAATCTAAACTATTACAAGGCGTCGGGTATTTACATCGCCAAAAACAAACCCTTTAATTTAAATTGCGGAAAATAAAAGAAAGCGATAAATAATGTCCTAATTAAAAGTTATTACATACCGGAAGCAATTACAATATTGAAAATAAATGGATCGTGTGCGAGAAATTAAGACGGCGCATTTTTTAGGGTTTTGACCCTTTTTTTGAAAGAAAGAGATTTTTGTTATTATTATTTTTTTTAATTAAATGAAATTAACCCTAAGTTAATTAATTAATAAAATAAAAATATATTTTTTAATTTTGTTTGAATATTAAAGGAAATAAAATAAAAAATGATTAAAATTGTTAAAACCTAATATTCTAAATTAATTTTAATTTATTGCAAAAAAAGGTTAAAATTATGCCTAATTAAACTAAGTCAATTAAATTATTGTTTATTTACAAAAATAAAATAATGAAATTAATAAAAACATTTTTTTGTTTTCTGATTTTATGAAGAAAATTATTATTTGGTTAGTGATTTAAAAAAATAACAAAACAAATAACAATAAATAAAAATAAGAAAATAATGAAAGAAATAAAAAAGGAAGCAAACTCAGGGGGGTTTGGGCCCAAATCTGGGTGTTTGAATGGCAATTGTTTGGCCCATTTTCGTTCCAGCCTGCTTT